GAGAGCTGCTGTCTGACTCAGCTGTAAGATCAAACCAGGAAATAATGGCATACAGAGGTGGGGCTGTCACGCACCAGAGGCTTAACCAGCTGCTTAGATATCACCAATTATGAGTTCTAAACTGGTTCCTATTTTGACAATGTGTTTACCCTGTTGTTAGGTGTGTTTAGTGAATACCTTTATGGCCTCTTTATATTGCATTTACTTTTTATACAGTGTTAGATAACAGTGTTTTATTTTGGCTTTAAACTGATAAAGATAATCTAAGTTTTAAGCTAGTGGACCCAATGATGTTATTTCAGGCTCTCATAAATTTTAATCCAAACATCAAATTCTCCTCTTGCGGTATCTATTTTCCTTCAGTTAATGAGGAGATACTTTCCATAGCCTCACAGGCTCTGGCCTTCAAAGCAATATTGATCATGACATCAATTGCTTTCATCAAATCCACATTCATTGTCCCTTGAACCAATATAAGAACTGCCTAGTATTGTCCCAAGGAGTAGCACTATGATATGGCGCCCATTGTCCCTTAGGCTAAGAACAAAGGCAGGTATTTTTCAGAAGCTGCAGTGACAGAAACCAAGATTCCCAAACCGAGCCAGTGAAATCTCCTGTGGGATTAGCACTGTAGAGAGGGAGGCTGTGAATCATTGGAATAAGTTAAAGATTGACATCTGGCTAGAAGAAAAATAGAAAACTGGTACTTTTGTAAATGTGAAACTTCTGGGCAGAACTTACATCTTTGCATACTATGGGACTCTGATAACACACCCAAGAACTGAGGCATACTTTTTATCTTATTAATTATCTTGCTCTTATCAAATCTGCTTTCTGTATGACATACATATTTAGCATATCAGGACTCATTATAAAACGTTACTTCCCAATTTATCTGAACATGTTCCATCACGTCACTAGTTGTCTGTACCTGGTTCACAATGTCTTTTGGTTGAGCCCAAGTGTTATGTCAGATAACCCCTAAGGATAGCTAAATATTGAGGACTCCCACACATGCATTGTGAGCTGCAACCCTGCCCTCAAATTCCCACAGTCCCTACCGCTCCCCACTGGCCCCACCCACATCTCCTCCCTCCACTCTACCTGGATCCCTGCCCCTCTCCTGTCCTGCATCTGGTCCTACAGGCAGATCAGAGTTCATGATTTTTTGTGCTTTCTTTTGCCAGTCTGCATGTTTCTCTAGTCCACAGAGCTTTTAACTGTTGAAGGCAATGAAATCTCTCCACGTGGTATTCCTCTTACATCGCACAAATATAAAGTTTAAAAAGTCAGAATGTCTTTACAGATTCTATCACTTGAAGTAGTATCAGTGAGCATCTAGTGAATATTTTGCCTTGTAGATAAGGCACTACTTGAATATTGTTGGTTGTATTCTGGTATACTTTCTCACTCTGTCCACCTAGCAGTCATCCAGGCATTGTTTTAAAGTCTGATGTGTAGATGCTAATTATTATTTGTTTCAATACACTGATTACTCTCATCAATTACTTCAAAGAAGAGCTTGATCACTTCTCTATAGTTTGGTTTGCTCCCATTAGCTCAGCCTCTTCCCACAGATAACCTCCCAAACATATTACTAGGCATTTTTAATCATTGAAGTCCTTGCCTGGTTCTCCAAATAGAGGCCACTCTGCAAGAGGACGCTGGTACATATTCAGTCTTCCCTAAATATAAGGGTTTATCAGATAGTTTTAAGTCATGCCACTTATCAGTAGAGGGAAAAGTCACTTATTTTAGATACTATATGTGCAAGGAACTCCAGCTCTAAGAGTAGCTGCTGTCATCAAGAGCAACAGGATTAAGGAAAATGTACTGGAAAAGGAGAATAAAATTAAAGGATCAACTTCAAAGACTGATGGACCTTAGGTTATATTGTATTTACCACATGTCCTTTTGTCAGCATTACTTGACCATTGACTCTCCACTTTGTGGCTTAGCTCCCAGATAGTTTATTTGGAGAAAGTTAATATTCCTTTTTTACCTAAATCTTTTGTTACATTAATAAAGTTGTGAATCCTTATTCTGGTTTGTTCAGTAGATTACTATCAAATTGTTTCCCCAATTTATGTAAATAAAAATTTATAAAGACTAAGCAAACAAGTAAAGTTTGATTCTAATCCAAATAGTAAATGATTAAAATCAAGTCTATCAATTTTGTTAAAAATGGTTAGTAACCGTCAATATTGGTATGTGTTTCATTTTTAATATTTAATTGAAATAGGAAAAATAATACCTTAAGATAGCTAATTTAGAACCCTTATTTCTATTTTTTATTTGCCTCAAAATAATTTATAGATTGTATTTATCATTTATTTATTGAGAGAGAGAGCACAAGCAGTGGGAGAGGCACAGAGAGAAGGAGAGAGAGAATCTCAAGCAGACTTCACATTCAGTGTGGAGCCTAATGTGGGGCTCAATCTCATGACCCTAACATTGTGACCTGAGCTGAAATCAAGAGTCAGAAACTTAATCCACTGAGCCACCCAGCCAACCCTGTCCAAGAGTAATTTAAAAGGGTGATTATAAATTTCCAAATGGAAGGAATATATTTTGTTTTGACTTTTTATTATTTTGTTGTGCATTTCCACATTTTCTGCATTATGGCTGAGAATGTGGTCTTACGTGAATTCCAATCTGGGGACTCTAAAATTTTTCAGTGTGGTCTAATGTATCATCAGTTTTGGTAAGTATTCCATGTGGATTTCACAAAGAAGTGTATAACTTTTACGTGTTAAGTGTAGGGCCCTCTATCCTTTTATTAATAAGAATTGTTAATTCCATTAAAATTTTTTACTATTCCCAGTTTGATATTTTTATTTATGAGTTATAATTAACTTTCCTACTCTGGCTAAGGATTTCTCATTTTCTCTTTGTCATTCTGTCAAGTTTTGCTTGCTATATATTTGAAGGTATATTAATAGGTACATTAGAAGTTCATGATTAAGGAATGACTTTCTCACTAATAAAGATTTTTCTCATACAGTCTAGTTATTTTTATTTTCATATTGCTACAATTATCTTCTTTATATTAGTGTTTGCCTTTTATACCTTTCTCATTCTTTCTGGTCACTTTTCAATTATGATTTTTTTAATATCAGAGTTTAATATCAGAGTTAATATCAAATATAGAATTTGTTTTTATCCTCCACAGTATAAGAGCTTCTGCCTTTTTTTTTTTTTTTTAAGTAGTCACCATGCCCAACATGGCGCTCAAACTCACAACCCTGAGATGAAGGGTCACATGCTCTACTGACTGAGCCAGCCAGGCACACAGGAAAGCTTCTATCTTTCATGGGATTAAATTATTTCATGTTTATTTTTCTTTCTCATATCTTCCTATCCTACTTTTTATTTGCCAATTATCACTCTTTCTTATTCCTAATCCCCTTCCTACCTTTGTTGGATTGAGGTTTTTTTTCTCTTTATACTTAATTTTGATTCTCTCTTGTGGCACATATATAGGCAGATAGCTATATCTATCAATTAATAAATACAGATACATATCATATATCTTCCTAACACCTAATATATATACATATATAATTTCAATATTAATAGTGCTTATATTCATATTTTAATACACGTATTTAATTTGTATTCTTCTAGTAACATCTAGAGCTATTCAGTGTCTTTTTATGTTCTCAAACATAAGAAAAATTGCACATGATTTGATTTCCCTCCTTCTAATGTCCCAGAATCTCCTATGTGGAGATAATTTTCAATAAGTTCCATTTTGTTCTTTTAACACTTTGGCTCTTTTCACATTATACACCAATAATTAGACTTTATATGTTTTGCTGGTATTACCACTATTTTTCACATCCCATATATATATATATATCCCTCATTTTTATTTTATTTTATTTTTGTACTTAAAAGCAGTTTTATTCTTTTTTTTTATTTGTTTATTTATTTATTTTAAGTAAGCTGTAGGCCCAGCATGGGGCTTGAACTCACGACCTCAAGATCAAGAGTCATATGCTTTACAGACTGAACCAGCCAGGTGCCTCTCAGAGAGGCTTTTTTCCCCCCCATTTTTTTTTTATTAACATATAATGTATTATTGGTTTCAGAGGTACAGGTCCTTGATTCCTCAGTCTTATATAATACCTTATATAATATATAATGTTAATATATATTATAATACCTTACATAATATATAATATTATAGCTATATATTATATAATACTTATATAATAATAAGTGCTCATTACATCACATGCCCTCCTTCATGTCCATCACCCAGTTACTCCATCCCTCCATTCCCCTCCTTTCCCATCCCTCATTTTTAGAGTCACTGTTTAATTTACTAGAATATATCCTCAAACAATCCTTTCAGGAAGAATGTGTGGCTATGCCCTTAGCTTGCTTATCTATGAGGGCTCTCCAGTGTTTCCTGGGATCAGTTACCTGAAGCAATGTCTGGCTTATCTGCTCCAGTTTCCACACTCAGTATTCTACCTTTGAGGCGACACAGGAGAGGCCTCACAGGTAGAGGAGGAGAGGAGGAGAGGGAGAAGGGTAAGTGTACCTGCTCTGTATCCAGCTACCCATGGATAATTCTGCCAACTATTCCAATGACTTTCCTGCTTCTTGTATTTACCTATTTGAGCTTGGAGTTGTTGTGAGATATTCGTGCCTTCAAACCAAAGCTCTTCTGCAGGTCTTTTGGGCTACAATTTCCTTCAGTACTATTTTCTGGTGAGGGAAGAAGCCACCGCAGCACCTTGACCCATTACTTAGGTGTTTCTGAGTGTCCCAGAGTGAGAGTCCGTGTAACTAGGACCTGCCTCGCTGTGCTCACAGGAGCAGCGTGGCCTGCATGAGTCACATCTACATCCGGCTCTGGTGAGCCGTGTCCAAAGCAGAGAAGCTAAGAAGTCTTTTGTTTTCTTAGTGGCCATACCTGGTATAGTAGGGTGGTATAGTACACAGAGTGATGACCTTCTCAGGATGTCCTTGTACTCATGCCCAGAACTCGCGGAAGTGTTCCCTTACATGGCAAAAGGGACTTTGCAGTTGTGATTAAGGATCACATGAAGTTGGGAAGAATATTCTGTACAGTATTAACAAGGGGGCGCTCAATGTTATCATGAGAGAGGGGAAAGGGTTACAGTCAGAAAAGTAGATGTGTCACAGAAGCTAAGTTTGGAGAGATGAACTTGACGTAAGCCAAGGAATGCAGGCAGATTCTAGAAAAGCAAAGAAATGAATTCTCCATGAGAGCCTCCAGAAGGGACACAATTCTGCCAGCACCTTGAGTTGAGCCCATAAAACCCATTTCTGACTTCTGACCTCCAGAAGTGTAAGGTAAGATATTTGTGCTGTCTTTAGGCACCAAGTTTGTTATACTTTGTTATAGCTGCAAATGGAAACTAATGTAAGTGGTATCTTTCCCCAGCAATAGCAATTTGGGGGGCATGGGCTCCCTATTCCCCATGCTTTCTTCAATGTAGGGTGGTCCCAGCCAAACAGCTCTTCAGGGAAACCTGTTTCTTCTTCCCTGCCCTGGAGTCAAGAGAATGGACAGGTGCCAATTACCTCACAAATGGGAATTCCCGGAGGTTTGCCCTTCAGGGGAACTATGCTATCAGGCCATGTTGGCTACTATAATGGCGAAACAGCCCAGGAATGTCACTGGGACTGCTGAAAGGTGAAGTCTTGTCCAGGGATGCGGGGAGGAAGAAGCAAGCAAAAGAAAGGCCCTCTGCCCCAGTGAACCCTCCTGAGAGCTGCATGGAAGGCATGGTCCTCCTGGCTAGGTTCTCTGCTCTGGCTGCTTCCTCAGGAACTCCTGGCTGTGAGTCCACAGGGGAAGGAAATCTCCAGATTATGTCCTGACAGTTCTGCACCCCAACACTTACATCTAGAAGCAACCTGCTCTGACAGAGGCGTAGGTGCTTCGGAGGCACCAGGTGACCTCTGGACGCTGGGTCAGGTCCAGTCCCTGGCCCCAGCCTCCCAAGACCCAGATGTGTCATCCCTTCACTTCTGTCTCTGTTTCAGGGTCAGAGCTGGCTCACCCTCACCCTTACAGTAACTCTATTTCAGGGGCCCCGTTCTCCAATCCTAGCTTGGTTGATGCTGGAGGATGCCTGTAACTTCAAACCTTAGAGAATAAGAATTAGAATAGAGCTTCCTTGGGGCACTTGGGTGGCTCCGCTGGTTAAACATCCGACTCTTGATTTCGGCTCAGGTCCTGGGATCCTTCCCGGTGTAGGGCTCTGTAATCAGGAGCAGGATTTCCCTCCCTCTTCCTCTGCCCCTCTTCCGCTCAAGCTCGCTCTCTCTCTCAAAAATAATAAATCTTTTTTTAAAAAAGATTTTATTTATTTATGTGTCGGGGGAGGGGCACAAGCAGGGGGAATGTCAGGGAGAGGGAAAAGCAGCTCCTCTCTGAGCAAGGAGCCCAATGCGTGACTCGATCCCAGGACCTCGGGATCATGACCTGAGCCGAAGGCAGACGCTTAATTGACTGAGCCACCCAGGCGTCCCCCCAAAAATAAATAAATAAATCTTAAAAAAAAAAAAAAAGAATACAGCTTCCTTTCCTCCAAAAAATCTCCGAATTCCTTAACCTCTTCTTGCTCCTCCCCACATCAGAAAAATCTGCTTCAAAGTGATTTTTCTGTCCTGGGCTGACCATGAAGCAAGTGGCAATTGCAAAAAGAACAGTTAAACAAATGTACGTTTGGGTGGTGTACTCTTTGGTAAGGTACCCTCCCGTGATTGGGCTTGGATCCTTGTTCTCTGACTTACCATGAATCCTTATGACTAATTCTGCCCATCATACTGTCATGTATCTTTAATGGTAGAAATCAAGTGACACGGTGTCTGGCATATTGAAAATGCTCAATACATATGAATTATTTTGAAGTAATGCTGGGGCAAAGAATGCTGATTGCCTTACAATAACCCTTCTCCCTTCTTCTTTAATAACAGAACCCTGGGAAGTATGCTTGGCTGTAAGATGATATTTCTTAGACCCTTTTGCAATTAGATGTGGCCGGTGAGATAGAATGTAAGTACACTCTGAGGCTTCGAAGAAGGCTCCACCAAAGGAGGGGGCTGTGCCCTTTAGCTCATCGGCTCTTCCTCTTTCCTGTGTTTGGAATGTAAATGTGGTGGCTAGGGCAGAGCAGGAATTTTGCATCATTTTCCTCTGAATTATTTTTCTTTGAGAAAAATTAATGTCCATATGGTTTAAGCCACTTTATTTTAGATTTCTGTATGCAGCCGAACATAATCCCAACTGAAGCAAGCATATTTTTCCTTGTTTGTAGAGAACAGAAGAAAAGAAACATGGAGAGAAAATTGAGGAACAGGAAAGAGACAAAACAAAACAAAACAGCGTTAAGATTCTAGGGGTGGTGTATTCCCTCAAGTCTTTCAAAGAACAAAACGTCCGATCTATTCTGCTATCATGTGTGTTTTGGCGACACAAATGAGCTCACAGACAATTGGTAAGTAGGGAAATGATATCAGTGTAATAATGCTGAGGTCACTTTGGTTCGTAAACAATTTTTCCCAGCATGTGACTTCCAAGAAATCCAGAGCAAACTTCCTCCACAATTAAAGAGCAAGCTTTAGCGACAACATATGAATGCTTTAAGAAATCCTACAGAGGTACCTTCCTTTAGTGAAAGCAAGGGCTGGGTCAGTGGTTTCAACAACTGCTACACATTTCCCTACATTAAGCTATTTGTTGAAGCTGTGAAGACGGATAAGGAAGTGCAACAATATTTCCTTCTGTGTTTTAAATCTTTTTTTAGTTATATTTTTTATTATTTTTTTAAGATTTTATTTATTTATTTGACAGAGAGAGACACAGCAAGAGAGGGAACACAAGCAGGGGGAGTGGGAGAGGGAGAAGCAGGCTTCCCGCGGAGCAGGGAGACCGATGCGGGGCTCAATCCCCGGACCCTGAGATCATGACCTGAACTGAAGGCAGATGCTTAACGACTGAGCACCCAGGAGCCCTTAAATCTTTTTTTTAAGACTATTTATTTGAGGGCGCCTGGGTGGCTCAGTTGGTTAAGCGACTGCCTTCGGCTCAGGTCATGATCCTGGAGTCCCGGGATGGAGTCCCGGGATCGAGTCCCGCATCAAGTCCCGCATCAAGTCCCGCATCGGGCTCCCTGCTCGGCAGGGAGTCTGCTTCTCCCTCTGACCCTCCTCCCTCTCATGCTCTCTGTCTCTCATTCTCTCTGTCTCAAATAAATAAATAAAATCTTTAAAAAAAAAAAAAGAAAGACTATTTATTTGAGAGGGAGAGAGAGCAAGAGAGAGAGAGCGCGCGAGTGGGGGGTAGAGGCAGAGGGACAGTGGGGCTTGATCCCAGGACACCAAAATCATGACCTGAGCCAAAGACAGATGCTTAACCAACTGAGCTACCCAGGTGAACCCTTCTGTATTTAAAAAAAATGATGAATCCTCCTGAATCAGATTTTTAATTTTGATAAACCTGGCCTCTTGGAAGCAAAAAGCCCTGTATTTCAAGGAAGAAAATGTAAGTCCCTAAATTCAAATGCTACACAGGGCAAGCTGCTAGTGGAGACCAACTGAGCCATTAAAAAAAGAAAAATAGGGGCACCTGGGTGGCTCAGTTGGTTAAGCATCTGACTCTCGGTTTCTGCTCAGGTCATGGTCTCAGGGTTGCGAGATCGAGCCCCACACAGGGCTCTGTCCTCAGTACAGAGTCTGCTTGAGATTCTCTCTCTCCCTCTTCCTCTGCCCCTCCCCATGCTCACACGCACAGGCTCTCTCTCTTTCTCTAAATAGATGAATAAAATATTTTTAAAAAAATACATATTTAGGGGTGCCTGTGTGGCTCAGTCATTAAGCATCTGCCTTCAGCTCAAGTCATGATCCCAGGGTCCTGGAATCAAGCCCCGCATCAGGCTCTCTGCTCAGCAGGAAGCCTGCTTCTCCCTCTCCCACTCCCTCTGCTTGTGTTCCTTCTCTCGCTGTATCTCTATCAAATAAATAAATAACATCTTTAAAAAAAATTAAAAAATAATACATATTTATAGTTTTTGTTAGTGCTCCTTTTATGAAGTTAGACAGTATGGTCCGCCCCTAACCCTATTTATCCCATATGCCCTTTTTTTTAGCACATGCTTTTGTAGAATGCAAAAGCTTTAAATGAATGCATACGTGATTTTATTTTTTTAAAAAACTAGCTGTACTAGGAAAAAATAAGAATAGCTCTAGAGCAAACTATAACTGATACAATATTCCTCCTTCACATCTCAGCACCAGTTCTTTGGTCACGGTTGGCTTTCCAACAGGCTATCTTCCCTAATTTCATCTTCTTGTATCATCTAGAAAAAAAATCTTGAAAAATGCCAAGTCTTAAACATTTTACCATTCATGCTCCTTTACTCAGGAGGCTACGAGGGGATATACTCTTCCAGAATGAGAGCCTGAGTGGCAGGATGCAGGAGTCAGGGACTCAGGGCAGGAGAGCAGTGGGGTAAGGTCTAGGGCGATAGTGATAGAAGGTCCCCAGAAAACCTCCCCGGGACTGACAGAAGAATTTTAAGGCCAAAACATAGTGGGTTCTCTTCACCTCCAGGGACAAATGAGATGCTTTACTTAAAACCACATTAAGCGGGCGCCTGGGTGGCTCAGTTGGTTAAGCGACTGCCTTCGGCTCAGGTCATGATCCTGGAGTCCCGGGATCGAGTCCCGCATCGGGCTCCCTGCTCGGCGGGGAGTCTGCTTCTCCCTCTGACCCTCCCCCGTCTCGTGCTCTCTCTATCTCATTCTCTCTCTCAAATAAATAAATAAATAAATAAATAAATAAAAAAAAAAACCACATTAAGCTTCTAGTTCAAATTCCAACCCAACCTTGCATTGAAGTTCTTTCCTTCAATTAAAGTTGATAGGGTCAGTCTGATGCCTGGTCGAAGAGTCTGAGTACAAACCCAGTCCAATCAGGCTGGCATTATTTACGTGAGCAGATAGAGAAGTTCCACAGTCCAGCTTGTGTTTAGCAGCAATGCCAAAATGGGTTTTGTTACTGCCGGCTGTCCAGGCAAGGTTTATTGATGTTTCAGTCTTCTCATTAACCTTCTGATAGATAGACCCTCCAAATTCAGTGCCGTCAGTCACATGAGTGTGCAGCTGGAAGTCTGCAGCCTTGTAACCCAGGGCGAAATTATTCTGTGACAGTTTGGATTTGGCTATGTCAAAACTCACCTGATAGCCAGTAAGCCAACCTTCAAAGGCTAACACAGCCCAGCCATAGATGGTTGGTCCAGAAAAGTCTGTATCAACCTTCAGCGTCGCCCTGGTGGAGCAGAGACAGGCCCTCTGGTCGGAGATATGTGTAACACACCGACTTACTGTGACCTAGGAAAGGCCACCAAGGATGTCTTCAATAAAGGATATGGATTCAGCATGGTCAAAATAGATCTGAGAACCAAATGTTGTAGTGGAGTGGAATTTTCTACTTCTGGTCATGCTTACACTGATACAGGGAAAGTGTCAGGAAAGATAGAGACCAAATGTAAGGTCTGTAACTATGGACTTACCTTCACCCAGAAATGAAACACAAATACTCTTGGAACAGAAATCTCTTTGGAGAATAAGTTGGCTGAAGGGTTGAAGCTGACTCTTGATACCATATTTGTACCGAACACGGGAAAGAAGAGTGGAAAATTGAAGGCCTCCTATAAACAGGATTGTTTCAGTCTTGGAACTCTCACCACTTTTATTCAACATAGTACTGGAAGTCCTAGCCATAGCTATTATACAACATAAAGAAATAAAAGGCACTCAAATTGATAAGGAAAAAGTAAAATTCTCACTATTTGCAGATGACATGATACTACGTATATAAAATCCTAAAGACTTTACCAAAAAACTCCTAGAATTGATAAATGAATTCAGTAAAGTCTCAGTCATTGTACAGAAATCCATTGCATTCCTATACATTAATAATAAAGCAGCAGAAAGTGAAAGTAAGAAAACAATCCCATTTACAATTACACCAAAAACAATAACATATCTAGGAATAAACTTAACCAAAGAGGTTAAAGACCTGTATTCTAAAAAGTATAAAATGCCTCTTGAAAGAAATACAAGACAATGCAATGAAATGGAAAGACATTCCATGTTAATGGATTGGAAGAACAAATATTGTTAAAACAGCTATACTACCCAAAGCAATCTACACATTTAATGCAATCCCTATCGAAATACCACCAGCATTTTTCACAGAACTAGAAAAATCCTAAAATGTATATGGAATCACAAAAGACCCTAAATAGCCAAAGCAATTTTGAAAAACAAAAACAACTGGAGGCATTATAATTCCAGTCTTCAAGTTATAATACAAAGTGGTATAATACAAATACAAAAATACATATTAAAACAATATGACACTGGCATAAAAATAGACATAGACTAATAGAAGAGAATAGAAAACCCAGAAATAAACCCACGATTATATTGTCAATTAATCTTCCACAAAGGAAAAATGAGTATACAAAGGGGGAAAAAAATCTCTTCAACAAATGGTGTTGGGAAAACTGGACAGTTACATGCAAAAGAATGAAACTGGCCCACTTTCTTTCACCATACACAAAAATAAACTCAAAATGGATTAAAAACTTAAATGTGAGACCTGAAACCATAAAAATCCTAGAAGACAGCACAGGCAGTAATGGCTCTGACATTGGTCACAGCAACATTTTTCTAGATATGTCTCCTGAGGCAAGGGAAATGAAAGCAAAAGTAAACTATTGGGACCACATCAAAATAAAAAGTTTCCACACAGCAAAAGAAACAACCAACAAAACTAAAAGGCAACCTACTGAATGGAAGAAGATATTTGCAAATAACTTATCCAATAAAGGGTTAGTATCCAAAATATATAAAGAACTTATACAACTCAAATCCAAAAAACAAACAGTCCAGTTTAAAAATGGGCAGAAGACATGAACAGACATTTCTCCAAAGAAGACTTCCAGATGGCCAACAGACACATAGAAAGATGTTCAACATCACTTATCATCAGGGAAATGCATATCAAAGCCACAATGAGATACCACTTCACACCTATCAGAATGGCTAAAATCCAAAACACAAGAAACAAGTGTTAGGATGTGAAGAAATAGGAGCTCTCATGCACGGTTGGTGGGAATGCAAACTGCTACAACCATTCTGGAGAACAGTATGGAATTCCTCAAAAAATTAAAAATAGAACTACCCTATGATCCAGTAACGGCAGTACTAGGCATTTACCCCAAAAATACAAAAACAGGAATTCAAAGAGATACATGCACCCCTATGTTTATTGCAGCATTATTTACAATAGCCAAACTATGGAAGCAGCCCAAGTGTCCATCAATTGATGAATGGATGAAGAAGATGTGATATCTTATATATATGTAATATAAAATATCACAAATATTTATAAATATTATTAAAAAATCTTGCCATTTTCAATGACATGGATAGAGCTAGAGAGTATAACACTAAGTAAAATAAGTCAGACTGAAAAAGACAAATACCATATGATTTCACTCATATGTGGAATTTCAGAAACAAAACAAAAGAACAAAGAAAAAAAAGAAGAAAGAGAAACCAAGAAACAGACTCTCAACTATAGAGAACAAACTGATGGTTACCAGAGGGGAGGTGGGTGGGGGGAATGGGTGAAATATGTGATGGGGATTAAAGGGTACACTTATCATGATGAAAAAAATAATAAAATAATTAAAAATATTCATGTAGGTGAGATAATTAAATCCTCTTTCTGGCCTTGTTTTGTTGCTTTTATTTATTTTTTAATTTTATTTTTTAGAGAGAGAGAGCATGTGCATGCAAGCACACACGAGGGTAGGGGGAGGAGCAGAAGGGGAAGGAGAGAGAGAATTTTAAGCAGACTCCATGCTCAGTGCGGAGCTGGTCTCAGGGCTGGATCCCACAACCCTGAGATCATGACCTGAGAGGAAATTGAGTCAGACCCTCAACCAACTGAGCCACCCAGGTGCCCAAAGTTGCCTTTAATTGCACAGGCAATCTGCTCCTTATCTTGTGGTTTTTAGTTACTTCACTGTGTAACCTTTTTGAAGGCATTTTTGGTGACAACAGGAATCCAGACTTATGTTAAAAATTTAACAGCTGGAGTGGTAAGAATGCAAATAATGCAACCAGGTGACAAATTGTTCAAGGGGTACTGCTGGGCATGGCTACATGAGGAGGCTGAAAAAATGTCTCAACTTACTCTTTGGCCTGGCAGCTGAAATATTTTGTTGACATTGATTATTACAGAAATCTTAAGCTCTGAGTTGTTAAAATGTGAAAACCAATATAGATTCTAGGAAGAGAAAATCCAATAACTCTAGAATTATAGAAAAATTTCTGTTCCTCAGGCATTATGCCAGGCATCAAACCATTTCAGGCATCACCCCAGCCCTCAGGAAGTTTCTATAAGATGAAGTAATGATTACACAGAAGAAACAACTGGGAAGACAGGCAAAGACAAGACCACTTCTGATGACATGTAAAATTACACGACAAGGACTATGGCAAGAACTGAAGGATGAGGGTGCCATCCAAAGGTCAAATTAATACAATTGTCTCATTACCCACACACAAGAGACTAAATGTTTGAAACTACAGTAATTTTCCTTATGAATACAGTTCAGAAATTATGCATTTTCCTGGCCATGTAAATGCAACCAAATGATTGGTTCTGAACATCTGGAACACTTTTGGCCACGTCGAACTTGGAACAAAGCATTTGGCATCCCTTTTAAGGGTGTGTGCTTCCACAATTTAGGGAGGAATCCCCGCTAGAATTCCACATTTAAAAGCAAATACAATTTTTAATATGCTGAAAGAGTACTATCCTGTGTGGTAGAGGAACACCCAGCTAATAAATGATGGAGCCCAGGATAACCCAAATGTCAACGTGGCCCATCTCCTGTGGAGTGAGGATGCATTTAGAGACTTCAATGATTTTGCTTTCTTCGTGGAACCCATATGCTCTTAAATATTCCAGATATTATTAAAAATTAACTCGAATAGAAGTGGACTCAAAATATTACAGTGTTCCTTTAATGATTTTTTCGGACACTGATGTAGAAAAAGAGCTGTGTCCTTTTATCAACATGGCTATTTCAAATGTGCTCTCGTAAATTCTTGTGTAGTATTGATCACTTCTTTATATTTTCTGTATAAGAATTATGTACCAAGTGCATTAAAATATATTTAAATTTTGCTCCTTGTAAGAATTATTCCTCGTGGTCAGTGAAAGAATATAGAAAATAGAACCTTGAGCTGCGCAGAGGGGCGGGCTGTGCACACATCAGCTCTGAGAAACAGACACAGCATCTCTGACTCCTCACTCCCAGAACAGCCCCGAGCGTCTGTCCGGCGGCAAAAGAACAGTCCGCCCCTGTGCTGAATCCGCAGAGGAGCATCAAGGAGCAACCAGAACAAACTATGGGCACACAGGGCAACCCGGACAAACATCTCGGACCGCGGGAGGCGCAGAGGCGGCCAAACAGAGGGCACGAGGCTCCATGTACACGAGCTCCCCGAGCCCGCAGCAACCTCCCCCCGCGCCCAAGGAGACACACGGGGGCGCGGCCGGGATTGGAAATGCACGTGCGCAGGCTCGCAGCAGCACGACCCACAGCATCGGGAGCGTGGACGCCACCCAGCTGTGCGTCACGGAGGCAGGGACCCACGACGCGCTCTTCTTTAACCTTCCGGGAATGAAGCCCGGGCGCGCCAGGACATGGGTGACCCCGAGGACGTTATGATCCGCCAGGAGTAGTCACAAAAGGACAGGTCCTGTAGGATCCACTCGCAGGACCTCCTGCAGCGCTCCGACGCACAAAGACGGAGCAGCTGGGCTGGGGCGCCGCTGGGGACGGAGTTCCGCTGTGGGACGAGGGAAACGTTCTGGAGGGGGAGGGTGGCGACAGCTGCTGGACAGCGAAAATGTACTCAATGCCCCTGAACCGAACGCTTAGAAATGGTTAAGATGCGAGATTTTGTTTTCTGTATTTTACCACGATTTGAAAGGAAGGAGAACACCTAACGCTGAGTGGAGGAAAGCCATCGGCGGTCACCCGGCAGGGGTGGCGACGGGGGAGGCACACCTGGGATGGAACCTTCCAGAATGACAGGAATGCGATGCCCGAGGGCTGGGGTGGTGGGTGCACAGATGGACACCTGTGTCAGAAGCCAATGAGCAGAACTCTTCAAATGGCTGTACTGTGGGGCGTCTGGGTGGCTCAGTCTGTTAAATGTCTGCTAAGCATCTGCCTTCGGCTCAGGTCATGATCCTGGGGTCGTGGGATGAGTCCCGCGTCAGGTTCCCTGCTCAGCAGGGTGTTTGCTTCTCCCTCTCATTCTGCCGCCCCCCCTGCTTGTGCTCTCTCTCCAATAAATAAATAAAATCTTAAAAAAAAAAATTAGAAAAACAGGGACGTCTGGGTGGCTCAGTCGGTTAAGTGTCTGCCTTCAGATCAGGTCACGATCCCAGGATCCTGGCATCAAGCCCTGCAAAGGGCTCCCTGCTCAGCAGGGAGCCTGCTTCTCCCTCTCCCTCTGCTCCTTCCTATTGCTCATTCTCTCTATGTCCAATAAATAAATAAATAAAATCTTTTAAAAAAATTTAAAAAAAAATAGAACATTGAAATAAAGCAAATGACCCAATTGACAATTGAAACTCCTTCCTTTTTAAGTCACATTTCACTTTAGTTTTGCTTGAAGATTTTTCAGCAGCCCCCTAAAATATTTCTATTTTGTGGAGGGGAGGACTTTCTAAATGTGGTAAAATTTAAATTTTTTATGGAAGCAGAATTCAACACACATCTTTGAAAGGAGAGTCAAATACCATACAGTAAATTAATTTAACTATATTTACAAGTTATGTTCACCTTACTGGTATGTCATCTAACCATATTTTTATTACCTCTGAAAGGTGTGGCTCATGACTACGATAGAATGTTTAGTACTGATGACCACTTCACTATGGCAAAATAATGTATGATCAAGGAACTTTAAAAATAGCTTTTTTTTTTAAAGATTTTATTTATTTATTCATGAGAGACAGAGAGAGAGAGACAGAGAGAGAGAGAGGCAGAGGGAGAAGCAGGCTCCCAAGGAGCAGGGAGCCCGATGTGGGACGCGATCCCAGGACCCTGGGATCATGACCTGAGCCGAAGGCAGACGCTTAACCATCTGAGCCACCCAGGCGCCCTAAAAATAGCTTTGTAAAAGAATACAGGAACACCAATTCAAAGGGATACATGCAACCCTATGTTTATAGCAGCATTATACACAATAGCTAAGATGTGGAAGCAGCCCAGGTGTCCATCGACTGAGGAATGGGTAAAGAAGATGTGGTATATACATACAATGGAATATTATTCAGCCATAAAAAAGAATGAAATCTTGCCACTTGCAATGACATGGATAGAGCTAAAGTATAATGCTTAGTGAAACAAATCAGTCAGAGAAAGACAAATACCATATGCTTTCACACATATGTGGAATTTTAAGAAACAAAAGAAGGCAAATAAGCAAAGGGGAAAAAATAAGTGTGAGAAAGACAAATCAAGGAACAGACTCTTAATATACAGAACAACTGATGGTTGGGGACCTGGGTGAAATAGGAGATGGGGATGAAGGAGTGTACTTGTTGAGATGAACACAGGGTGATATATGGAAGTGTGGAATTACATATTGTTCACCCGAAACTAACACTATAAGTTAACTAACTGGAATTAAAATTAAAAACTTAAAAAAAAGTAACTTTGTAAAATTGTAAATACCTGGGAAAAGGTAATTTAACAACAGAGACTATTCATATTTACACATGAATGTTCTATTATAAAATAACCAGTTTACACTAAATCCAAACTTAAAAAGTAATATTTACTAAGAAATAATTACTCACTTTTCACAAGTGTCTTTATATTTATCTCCATGTTCTTTTTCAATAGGGAGCACCCCTCATGCATTTAAAAAGTGACTGAATTAACAAAATATAATTTACATATTTGTTTTTCAGAAAGATACTCTCTTTTAAGTGAGATTCTCTAGAATGTACATAAACAAATTTGTTCCAGGAAAGTCAGCTGAGGAGTGTTTTAAGTGGTGGTTTCACTGTTCAATAAAACATTGTTTGTAATCTTGATGTAAAACCGTGAGGAAGGAAATGTGTTCCGGAATGGAAGCACACATTCTAAAGAGTTTAGCGCAGTCTGGTTTGTCATGTGGCCAGGATTTCAAAAAGGAAGAGGAAGTTGCATAATTCAGTAGAGCAAGTGACCTGCAAGTGATTGACTATTTATGGTAAAATGAAATCTTAAGAAATAGCAACAATGTGGGGCCTGGGTGGCTCAGTTGTTAAGCATCTGCCTTCTGCTCAGGTCATGATCCCAGGGTCCTGGGATCGAGCCCCGTGTCGGTCTCCCTGCTCCACGGGAAGCCTGCTTCTCCCTCTCCCACTCCCCCTGCTTGTGTTCCCTCTCTCACTGTGTCTCTTTCTGTCAAATAAATAAATAAAATCTTAAAAAAAATAGCAACAATGCTAATTACGGTAGTACTATTCATTATTAGTATTTCAAGGACCTTAAAATGACAAAGTTCTCAGTTCTGAAAATTGAATAAAAATGTATGATAATCATTCTTATATTTACTCCTACCCATAGACAACATTATAACAGGAAGAGATCTAAGAGGCATTTTTTTGAAAATAAGAATACTGTACTTCAGGGACGCCTGGGTGGCTCAGTCGGTTAAGCGTCTGCCTTCGGCTCAGGTCATGATCCCAGGGTCCTGGGATCAAGTCCCACATCGGGCTCCCTGCTCCGTGGGGAGTCTGCTTCTCCCTCTGCCTCTGCCTCTCTCTCTCTCTCTCATGAATAAATAAATTAAAAAAAAAAGAATACTGTACTTCAGGCATAGCATGGAATATAAAGAGATTTTAATATGTAATAATATCTTTGGTTAGGCATACCGTACCTTGGTAGTTGTTAGAGTATATTCCTATTTGTGGGTCTGTTTTTGTATCAGACCACTCAAAGTCCAAGTCTGACTGACTTGTTTCACTAAGCATTATACTTTAGCTCTATCCATGTCATTGCAAGTGGCAAGATTTCATTCTTTTTTATGGCTGAATAATATTCCATTGTATGTATATACCACATCTTCTTTACCCATTCCTCAGTCGATGGACACTTGGGCTGCTTCCACATCTTAGCTATTGTGTATAATGCTGCTATAAACATAGGGGTGCATGTATCCCTTTGAATTGGTGTTCCTGTATTCTTTTACAAAGCTATTTTTAAAGTTCCTTGATCATACATTATTTTGTCATAGTGAAGTGGTCATCAGTACTAAACATTCTATCATAGTCATGAGCCACACCTTTCACAGGTAATAAAAATATGGTTGGATGTTCTGGAAAATAATACTAGCATCTATAACTAAGCTGTGATCATGTTTTGGGTCTAAACTAATAAATAATATGTTGATCTTACTATGTCTACATAGATATTATTCAAAGATGAGTCATGTAAAGTGATATGATTACATTTCTTTTCTTGGTCAATTTGCCTCATTTTTTCCCCCACTGCTTTGTACTCTAATTTCTTTTTTTTTTAAAGATTTTATTTATTTATTTGAGACAGAGAGAATGAGAGAGAGAGAGCACATGAGAGGGGGGAGGGTCAGAGGGAGAAGCAGGCACCCTGCCAAGCAGGGAGCCCGATGTGGGACTCGATCCAGGGACTCCAGGATCATGACCTGGGCCGAAGGCAGTCGCTTAACCAACTGAGCCACCCAGGCGCCCTGTACTCTAATTTCTTATTCATTCATCTCCCCTCTCCGAGAAACAGGAATCTCTTGTTCTGTTCAAATACGTTACTTTTCTTGGAGACATTACCCCTAGAGCCCTCTATCATCCAGTTTCAAATGGGATTGCTCCCTTCTGGGCCTCTTGTATAGCTGTCATTCGAGGATCTCCCTTCATGTTCTTCAACAATGTTCACCTGAGGCTGAAGCCTCTGTGTTGAGAGAACCTCCTCACCCCCTTTTCTTTTTCCTTGTTGTATTCTTATTTTTGTGCACCAAATGCACATTTAGGTTGTCATTTACTTTCTGACAAAGAGAGCATGAGAGATAAACTTTATGATTCTTTGTATTGTTTATAAAAATGTCTTCATGTATCACACTTGAATGATCTCATCTGCCTCAGTGTAGACATCTAGGTTAGAAATCACTTTCCTTTATAATTTTGAAGGCATTGGTCCATTGTCTAATG